AACTGAATAAAGTTAAAACGAATTAAATTTCAAATTAACATTATTATTCTGCCGCGGCGCCGCTCGCACTGAGACGGGGCGAAGGGTAATGAAGTGTGGTAAGTGATAAAATACGGAGGCTGTTGAATAAACTATGCGCTTCATCTCCGTGAATAGGGCTGTCGAATGCCTCTGAATTGCTGATGGGAGGTGTTCACTTATTTATAAACCCCTACAATATATTATGGTGTATTTTTTAAACTTATATTACACTAACTCTGCGACTTGGTCCGCGTGAATTTTAACTTTTTTTTATTAGAATGGAATTATAATAATAATAATAATCTCGGAACAATTCACACAGCGCCATCTAGTCCCAAGTTAAGATAGCTGAAGCTTGTATTACGGGTACTAGATAAATAATACAAATACAGATATTTATTTATATATTTTTTAGTAAATACATACATATTATACTTAGAAAACAGCCAGACCGATACAAACAATCATATGAATACAAATGTTTGTGCCGTGCGAGGAATCGAACCCGCGACCATCGGATGTAAAGCGGTGTGCTAGACCGCTAGATCACCGAGGTCTATAGAAAATCATTTATTCAAATAAACTTAATTTAAGCACTTTTGAATAGTCATAATTTTTTTTATTACCGCTCATTCGGAAACCTGTCTCATCACAAGAAGAACGAGCAAGAAACTTGTGTGTTGCTCTTTTAAATAATCCTTGTAAGTTTACATTTACAAGTCGAAACGTGTGAATACAAACTACCAACAAGCACTATTTTTGGGTCATATATGATCATGCAATAAGTTTAAATCAGGCGTAGTGATTAGAGCAGACCAGTCCCTACAAGCAGCACTCGTTCATGAGTATGACGGATGAGCCAGCCATCACTGCGCTCGACCATATTTTAGGGAGCCCAATGACCCGGCTCACCACGCCGCCACATGTCTGGACATTTTAGTGAGCATGCCTACTCAAGACGCCCCTCCGATCGATCCCCCGTCCAATTCAAACGGGGATCGAAATTACGACGGTTTGAGCCGAGGTTCGAACCCCTAGTGGTGCCCTCAGACTAAAGTCGTATCCGTCAGGTGGGAGTTGGCCTTCAGCCGCTCCATAAGTCCTTCCTTGGTTTGGAGTGCCATCTGCACTTGCCTCCTAACGTCCGGTGAAGCTGTAAAGGCCAGCTGCGGCCAACAGCATTAGAGTAGTCCGAAAAAAAAGCCTACTCAAGACACTAGACCAAGTCATAGCTACTGACATTGCTTACTTACATAGATAGATTGATATATCGTTTATTTGTTTGTTACTAATCACACACATGTTCATAAGAATAGACAATACATAATACGATATAAGACAACATTTTAGTGAGCATGACTACTAATTCCACTCGACCACGTCACAGCTACTTAAAATTACTATATGGTAGTAATACGAGTAATGATACGAGAGGTACGAATGGTACGAGTATGGTAATGATAAGAGCCGTAAAATCTACAATCTAGTGACGGTAGATAAAGAAAAACTGCTGTCACCTATCTACATTGACATCGCTGTTACTCCAGTTAGCTCGTGACCACGGCTAGTGCAACCTAGTCGAAACGTCAAGAATAGAAAAGAAAGAATACAATATAAAATTCTTTATTCAAATAAACTTAAATTGTTGAATAGTCATAATTTTTTTTTAATCTATCGCTCATTCGGAATGCTGTCTCATCACAAGAAGAACAAGCAAGAAACTTGTGTGTTGCTCTTTTAAATAATTTATTCTTTTAAATTTAAGTTTAAGTGTGTGAATACAAACCACCGATTAGCACTAATTCAATTAAATACTCAAAAAGAAAAAATATTGAATACATAACCAACTGGTTAAACAATTAATAAGAGGAAATCAGTCATAGTGATTAGAGCAGACCAGTCCCTACAAGCAGCACCCGTTCACTGAGTATGACGGATAGCCATCACTGCGCTCGACCATATTTTAGGGAGAGTAAATACCTTTATTCAAGAGAGGTAAAAATATAAAATTATTCGTGTTAAGACCCGGTTAATAATTTAAATAATCTATATCTATTGAAAACAAGGACTGTATTACTGGTTAAAAAAAAACAGTAATCGTCAAAATATAAAGACCATATGGCATAAGAAAACAAACGGTATATAAAAATAGAACGTCAAAATATAAAATTCAAATATATATAAAAAACTATCAAAAAGGTTGCCATCGGCAACATCTATTATATTTTTTTTTAATTTTACTGCATGGCCTGGTATTTTAGGAATTTCTTAATCAATGAAGGCACCGCGAGCATGTAAACAGTATGTCGATATTCTGTGAAGCTTAGTAGCAAATGCCATGAGAGTTAAGGAATTCGCTTCGCTCGGGAATGTGGGCGATGCAGTTGCACTTAGATCAACTTTATTATCATTTTCTATTAGCATACAAGAATGTATGGATTGTACAGTTCATTTTACCTAAATGCTTATGCTGTAAGAAGAATTAGACATTTTACAGACGTGGCAACGGCTAAACTTGTGTACTTTAGCTATTTCCATAGCATTTTGTTATGGGGCAAAACTGCCGATATAAATACAATATCTTATATATAAAATTCCCGAGTCACAGTTTTCGTTCCCATACTCCTCCGAAATGGCTTGACCGATTGTCATGAAATTTTGTGAGCGTATTGAGAAGGTCTGAGAATCGGCCAACATCTATTTTTCATCCCCTAAATGTTAGGGGTAGTCCACCCCTAATTTTTTTTTTTATTTTATGCAAAGCAACGTTTGCCGGGACAGCTAGTTTATTTTACAAAAGAGGGCCATTCGCTCCATTTATAGTATGGGTTCCAGGGGGTGTATGCGAGAGTGGTTTAAGGAATCAAATATCCACACCGTTGCTTCTCAATACATTGTAAACGCGAAAGTTTGTTAGTATGGATTATTTGACGCCCTCGGTGGTATAGCGGTCTAGCACACCGCTTTACGTCCGATGGTCGCGGGTTCGATTCCTCGCACGGCACAAACATTTGTATTCATGAGTATGATTGTTTGTATCGGTCTGGGTGTTTTCCATGTATAATATGTATGTATTTACGAAAAAAAAATATCTATGTACTTGTATCAGTTATCTAGTACCCATAATACAAGCTTTAGGTAGCTTAACGTGGGTCTAGATGGCGCTGTGTGAATTGTCCTGAGTTAAAAAAAAAATAGTTTTATAAGTTGTATAAGTATAGGTATGGATGGATGTTTGTTACTCTTTCACGCGAAAATTACTGAACGGATTTTAATGAAACTTTACAGTGACATAGCTTATACGCTATAAATGTCATGCGGATTCAAACTGCGCGTACAGCTTGTAAATAATATATATATAATATTATTATATTTGATCCAAAAACTTGGACGAGGTCAATGTGAGACGGATGTCCTTCATCTGAGCGTCAATTTAAATTCGGACAAGTGATAATTGGTCATTTTCACGGAACAATCAACCGTATTACTGGGAAATTGGGCTCAAATCTTGAAACTGAAATCACTTGAAACTGGAGGGCCACTGAAGTCCAGTGTAAATGGATTGCTTGTTAACTTACTGGATTTTAGAGAATAGAATAGAAAATATTTATTCAAATAAACTTACATTGAAACACTTTTGAATAGTCATCACATTTTTTTTAATCTACCGCTCATTCGGAAAGATGTCTCATCACAAGAAGAACGAGCGAGAAACTTGCGTGTTGCTCTTTTAAATAATTTTATTGTTACTTTACATTTTAAGTTGAAGTGTGTGAATATAAACCACCAATTAGCACTAATTCAATTAAATACTGAAATAGTAAAAACATTAAATATATAACCAAATAAGACGAATATCATTGACAAGATTCTGAACTTAGTGCTGCCCTCCATGCATTGCAGTTAATATTAACTGCGAATCTCTTCGTAGAACTGTACATGTTGCATGTCCTATCTACAGATTGTCTAAACTGTAATATAACCGTTTACTCAATCAGTATAACGAATCATTCCATAAAACAAAGTCGCTGTCGCTGTCTGTCCCTATGTATGCATAAATACAAAAATAGTGTTCCGTATTCCGAACCTGTTTAGTCTAAGCAGGTTGTATCACTGGCTTGGTTACTAAAGCAAAGGGCGCTTGGTGATACTGGTCACAGATAAACATGTGGCCACTTAAATTTCGATAAAAGAATGATAAAACAATTGAAAACAAGAACTGGAACTAAAAGGACGCTCCGTATTTTTATCTATATAAAACAAGATAATTAATGATTTATTTAACACAATATAATTGTTTTTTATGAAAATATACACTGTAGAGTGCGTGGCCACTAAACAGTACTACACATCGGGACGTTCCTGAACAAAGGTGAGTAAGTTTGGTGTTACATTGCTTACTTTGGGGAGTTCGGAGTGTGGAAGACATTCTTCCAGATCGAAATCGTATTTTTACTTCCATTTCCATTAAATATTTTCTTTTCAATAAATACAGTCCACTCTCTCTTTTATATATTAATTCATAAGGATTCGTAATCCAACAAATAGTATTGTTCAAAAATTATACATAATTAACTATACTGAGAGAAATAATAATAGTCAAATAGGATCTTTCCAGTCGATAATTATATATTGTCAAAAAAATCCTTTAAACTGTAAAATGTTTTATTTTGTAACCATTCTCGTAATGTTTTCTTAAATAATATTTTGTTATTCGTCTTCAATGTCTCAGGAATATAATTATAAATTCTTATACACGTATTTTCAGTTTTTTCTTTTTACGACAAGAAACCAATATGGCACCTAAATATAATTATAATAGAGATAGACTTTCATTACCAACCTTCATTATTCACTATCGCAAACGAAATAAACGTAGGTAAGGGTGAAACCACATTACGTAGGGTACATGCGCGCGCACTCGGCCTAGCAGAGACTCTACACGCGGCCACAAGGCAGTCAGTGATCGCGAGCCATACGGCCGCGCCGCATTCTGCACGCGAGGCCAAGTTTTGGATCAACTACTCTCGTGTTTCAAACGAGAAAAACATCATGTGAAAAAAAAACAGCATTCAAAAAGTAGTGATTTTTAAAACGTTTAGAAACCAAACTCAGTGTCATTTTTAGAATAATTAGTGTTAGGTGTTTTTGAAATTAATATTAATATAAGTGTTGTATTAAAAAAATTATGTACTTAGTGACTTCTATATTTCTCTTAAATTAAACGGTAACATTTTAATTCAAAAGTGTTATAAGTACATAAGGATTATACTTGATTTTGTACCTTACGAGGTATATGTTTAGATAATATATTACTGTTGTGACGTATATTGAAATAGTGGCTAACGACTTTGAAAAACTTGCGGGAGATATCTTTTCCCGGATTTGGATCAACGCTGGCTCCCGGCCAGGACATCTGCAAGCGAAATTAGCTCTTATGTAAGTGGAATATTGAATGAATTTATATATAGGCTATAATCACCCCCATTTATTAAGGGGTGGCTGCGTTATGAATGTTTGATCATTTTCTCGTCAAAGTACGCAATTCTTCATATTGGGATCATATCTGTCGTTTTGATCATTTGTAAACCATTTCTCGTATTAGCTGATGTGTTGTTTGAAGTGATAATTTATTACCTACATCTATACCTATAATAATAACAATATAATAATAATCTCAGGACAATTCACACAGTATCATCTAGACCCAAGTTAAGCTATCTAAAGCTTGTGTTATGGGTACTAGACAACTGATACAAATACATAGATATTTTTTTTTCTTTTTACTTGTGTTATGGGTACTAAACCCATAACACAAGTTTTAGCTAGCTTAACTTGGGTCTAGACGGCGCTGTGTTAATTGTCCTGAAATTATTATTATTATTATTACATATATTAAAAATGTAATCGTTTGCTGTCTTTATACAAATTATATATTAATTATTATATTATTTTATATTTGGCTTTCCCCGTCCCAGTTTCAGAATAAATATAACTTCACGAAATTACTCGAAGTAATTGAGAACTGTCCTCGTAAAGAGTCATTTAAAGTTAAAGGAATTTACAAACGATTTGGTTGGAGGTGACGCCGATGGTAGCAACACTCTTTAGATAATTATAATAATAATAATAAATAACCCTGAACACTTGACACAGCGCCATCTAGTCCTACGGCAAGCAGAGCTTGTGTTACCAGTACTAGACAACTGATATAAATACTTAGATATATTTTTTTCCGTAAATACATACATATTATACATATAGAACACCCAATCAATACAAACAATCATACTCATGAATACAAATTTGTACAATTTTTGCAACGTGCGAGGAATCGAACCCTCGACCATTGGATAGTAAAGCGGCATGCAGGCTATCAACTTTATATACTCTTAATATGCAATATTTAATTACTTAATGCATTTATATTATTTTGTGTTGTGGAAGGAAGGAAGGACTGTATTAGGGCAGGTTAAAAATGAGACACGTTCCTAGGTGAGGCAAAATAGGTGTAATCAGCTCGCTAGCAAAAATATAAAGACCATATGGCATAAGAAACCAAACGGTATATAAAAACAGAACAACGAAATATAAAATTCAAATATATATAAAAAACATAAAAACTATCAAAAAGGTTGCCATCGGCATTTTGTTTAATTTAGCTAACATTAGCAGTGTGAGATCACAAATATTCAGTGCGGAAACCTGACCACTGCTACTGGAAGCGTTACGACCTTTTCTATTAACATATTATCTTTTCTGAACTATTTGTGACCAATAACTGTCGGAATTTGATCAATAATTAGGATAGTGATCAAGTTCAGAGTTATTGGTTCTACACGTATATAGCAACACAACTACCATTTTGTAACTTGAAGTAGCTATGACGTGGTCGAGTGGAATGAGTAGTCATGCTCACTAAAATGTCCAGATATGTGGCGGCGTGGTGGGCCGGGTCATTGGGCCCCATAAAATATGGTCGAGTTATATGGTTAATTTTATTGATTGTTTTTATATTTGACCTTAATAAATTAGTGCTGGTTGGTAGTTTGTATTCACACGTTACGACTAGTAAATCTAAACTTACAAGGATTATTATAAATGATGATAATATATATAATAGAATAGAATAGAAAATCATTTATTCAAATAAACTTAATATTCAATAACATTTTTTTTTAATCTACCGTTCATTCGGAAAGCTGTCTCATCACAAAAAGAACGAGCAACACAAGTTTCTTGCTCGGTCTTTTATTATTATATTTATAAAAAAAATGTTATTGAATATTAAGTTTATTTGAATAAATGATTTTCTATTCTATTCTATTCATGTTTCGCCTCTGACCGAGGCATCATCAGGCAATGAATAGAGTTCGGATATAGCTTCGAAGCGTTCTGTTCTGTTCGACGATCAGACTATGATAGAAGCGTCTAATGCAGGAGACTTTGTATGAAGTCTATTTTGACATAATGATACTAGTTGTGCCCATGACTTTATCCGTGTGGAATAGCAACTTTGACGAAATAAAAGAAACATATTTATCTAACCTAAAAAAGGCAAACAAAAAAGTTTCCTCGTTCTAGCTACAATAATGACAAAATTTCATCCACAATTTTATGTTATACCCTCTAAGGTAAAATTATTACAAACTTTGAATGTCATATTCATTTATATTTAATCAACAGCCTTAAAAATAACTATAATTGCATCCCAGCTTTTGTCTTTGAAAGGGGCTTCAACCTCTTAGATCTCTTTTTCTCATTAAAAAGTAGCCTATGTCCTTTCTGAGGGTCTAGAATATATATATATGTATATCAAATTTCATTTAAATCGGTTCAGTAGTTTTGGCGTTAAACCGCGATAGACAGACAGAGTTACTTTCGTATTTATTATATTCGTAAGAATTATATGATTGAATGACGAGCGTGCATGGCAATAGTTGTTCATGCACGGGATTTTCATTTAATGTTAGACATAGACACCTATATAAATATACATTTTAAATAAACTGGTTCTTCTCTTGAATCTATATACTGAACTGGATGGTAGGGCAAAAATTTATGTTCATAAGCGGCTAAAATGTCCTACATGAATAAATGATTTTTAAATTTGAATTCGAATTTAATAATTTTAATATAATAAGTCAAGAAAAAAAAATATATACAATGTCAAGTACACAGATAGTCAAAAAAAAAGATTCGAATTTAATATAATAAGTATACAATGTCAAGAAATAAAAAAAAGGAAATTTAGTTGAGTTTTTTACCAGTTGTTCCCAACTGGATCTGTATACTGAACTGGACGGTATTGCACTTATAACTCTCAGCAATATTGATTAATAATATTATTTTATTTTCTTTTTACAAAAAAACTTGACCTTCATAAGCGGCTAAAATATCCTACATGAATCAATTATTTTTGATTGGATTTGATTTGATTTGATAGTCTGTTGTGTATTTCATAATTCGTTCATTTAATTAAAGAATTATCCATTATTCATAGGACTTAAAATATGCAAATTATGAAATTGTTAATTTGACGAAAACATTTTGATTATTATTCTCAGCCTCTCCTCTCATAAGGCTTAAGGCTTAAGGTTTACATTTCTATTTGTTTTTGCAAAGCCAATAAAGTTCTTCAAAGCGTATATTTAATTATGTTCGTATTTATTACCCTTCGAATATTGTATACTAACTATTTCGCGAGTTCGTCCGCGTGGAATTTAACTTTATTTATCTGAAATAAAAGATTTTTCTAAAGTAAAAATAGCCTGAGTTACTCCTTATTATATCAGCTACCTGCCAATAAAAGTCCCGTCAAAATCCAGCCATTTCTGAGATTAGCCGGAACAAACAGACAGACAAAAATTGTAATTTTTGTCTGTCTATTTGTCAAAATTTTAGTTTGGTGTATGTACCGTATTTATATTCATATGCATGTAGTAAAAAACGGTTATTTCAATACAAACAGACACTCCAATTTTATTTATATGTATAGATGTTTATTAGCTGTAATTCTGGAGAGCGAAGGGTAAGTTGGTGCCTTAAATTAGGGGTTAAGGGGCTGTAATTATTCAATAATATGCCAGTGATTTCATGATACCAACTTTATTAGAGTTAATAATGTTATTCTGGGGGATGTTTTTATAAGCATACTAGCAGTATTATGTGACTTTCATCATCTCAGTCCGGAAGACGTCCACTGCTGAAAGAAGAATAGAATAGAATAGAAAATAATTTCTTCAAATAATCTTACATTGAAGCACTTTTGATTAGTCATCACATTTTTTTTAATCTACCGCTCATTCGGAAAGCTGTCTCATCACAAGAAGAACGAGCAAGAAACTTGCGTGTTGCTCTTTTAAATAATTTTATTCGAACCTTACAATTTAAGTTTAAGTGTGTGAATACAAACTACCGATTAGCACTAATTCAATTAAATTATTAATATTTTTTATTAATAATATCAGGATAATTCACACAGCGCCATCTAGACCCAAGTTAAACTAGCTAGAGCTTGTGTTATGGGTACTAGATAACTGATACATATACATAGATATTTTTTTTTTTGTAAATACATACAGATTATACATAGAAAACACCCAGACCGATACAAACAATCATCTCATAGATACAAATGTTTGCGCCGTGAGAGGAATCGAACCCGCGACTATCGGTCGTAAAGCGGTGTGCAAGACCGCTAGACCACCGATTGGTCGTAGCGTAATTTTATATAGCTTAAAGCCTTCCTCGATAAATGGTCTATCCAACACTAAAAGAATTTTTCAAATCGAACCAGTAGTTTCTATGATTAGTGCGTTCAAACATACAAACAAACTCTTCAGCTTTATAATATTATTAATTATATATATAAAAACTGTTGCGAATATACCTGATTGTCCGCTCCAGAGGCACTGGATAACGTTGCATTGTGGACCCAGTGCTTCTGGACGTGGACACAGATATATGAATTAAATATATCTACGTATATGTATATTATAAGTTACTAACATAGTTTTATAAGTTTTTACTAACACAATATGGATGTAATCCGAATTAAAATTAAATAAAAATAAATATATATATATTATTATTATAGATTCTACTGTGGCTTCATAGATCTATAGTAGTGCATATATACAATGTTATAGTTTTACTAGCTGTCCGGGCATACATTGTTTTACGATATAAATTCAAATACAAATTTAAAAATCATTTATTCATGTAGGACATTTTAGCCTCTTATGAACATCATTTTTTTTATATTATAATTTTAATCTACCGTCCAGTTCAGTATATAGATCCAATTGAGAAGAACTGGCAAGAAACTCAGTTGAATAATAATAATAATATAATAATATCTGAGGACAATTCACGCAGCGCCATCAAGTCCCAAGATAATATTTTTTTTTGTAAATAAATACATATTATACATAGAA